ATATGGTAACTATTTCTTTTTAGATGCAAGAAAATCTTTGAAAAGCCCATATTTTTAATTGACTAAAATGTTTTTTCTCTGAATATATTAAAATTCATTTAAACATTTAGATATGGTTATTCTTTGCTTTATTTCCTCCCTCTCTACCAAATGCAGTTTGGAAAATGTCTTTGTGGGTAATACCCTTTTTGGGGGTGGGTGTGGTAATTCAGATCCTTTCTTGTAATGTTAGTTGTGTTAAGTTGTTTACTAGGACAGACAATAGGAACATTTTTCTTCTTGCATTGATGTCCACTGCAGTTAAATGTCATTTGTTATACAAACACCAGATCATTCCTGTCACCCTTTTTCCTCAGCTTACGACCCTGGGAAATCTCACACCTCCAAGCACTGTGTTTTTCTGCTGTGACATGCAGGAAAGGTTCCGGCCGGCCATCAAGTACTTTGGAGACATTATTAGTGTGGGACAGAGACTGGTATGTTTGGGTGTCTGTCTGTCTGGTCCAGTTTGCTGAAGCACAATATGCGTCGATATGGCTACTCAACACAATTTTTACACTTTCATTTGATACCTTTTCTTCCAGTTGCAAGGAGCTCGGATATTAGGAATTCCGGTTATCATAACAGAACAGTACCCCAAAGGTCTTGGCAGTACAGTGCAAGAAATCGACTTAACAGGTGTGAAGCTGGTTCTTCCGAAGACCAAGTTTTCTATGGTGTTACCTGAAGTTGAAGCGGCCTTAGCCGAGATTCCTGGCGTCCGGAGTGTTGTACTGTTTGGAGTAGAAGTATGTACTCTCTTGGGTTCAGGAAATGTGGGTCTATATGTTTAAAGGATGCTAGTGGCTAATTGGCACTGAGGGAAATTGGCCCCCACTTGTTACATGTTCTCCACCCTCATGGCACCAATTTAAGTGCCTTGTGGCTGTTGCCAGCTTGAACGCTCACAACAACCCTGTGAACTGTGTGCCCCTTGTCTCCCAGATCACACATGAGAACCTAAAGTATAGCTGTGTCTGTGCCTTGTCTAAGGTCAGCCAGCCAGTGAGGAAGCAGCATCTGTATCTAGGCCAGTGATCTTCAACTGTCCTGAGACCCACCTGCTTCAGTTTCCTGCATTCTTACATGTGATACTTTGCTTTCCTACAGACACACGTATGTATCCAGCAAACGGCCCTGGAGCTGGTTGGCCGAGGCATTGAGGTTCACATTGTTGCTGATGCCACCTCCTCAAGGAGCATGATGGACAGGATGTTTGCTCTTGAGGTACTTGTTCTATCTATCGTTAAGAGATAAGTTGTTCATCCGTTTTCTGAAAAATTAGGAGTCTTGAATGTTTATCAGTCCCTAATAATTTGCCTTTTAAACTGATGCTTGGTCTCAGCGTATCGGGACCGTTACTTCTCAGAGAAACAGCTCTGCACTCGTTAACTGACCTGTCAGGTACTTTGCCTACTTCACACTTTTCCATGGGATTAGATTTCTAGAGATGGCAAAAATTCCTTGATAGTTTTGTGGTCACTTTACCCTAGTGTTCAGCATGGACTAGACATGTCTTAAGTAAAGTAGCAAGGACTGAATTTTACAGAATGGCAAAGTAGAAACAGTTCATGCAGGTTAACTCAAGCAAGTGTAGCCCCAAACTCTGGCAGAGTGTATCAAAGCCCGAGTCAGCCTTGTGTAAGTGACTGTAAACATAACCTACGTGCTGCTTCCTGGCTGACACTCCATCAGCAAGCAGTTCTTTCTCAGTGTTGCCTAATTATCATCTGAACTAAGCCCCTTCAATTCCAAGACTGTTGAGGCTAGCGTGTAGTCCTGGGGTGGTTTTTACTCCAGAAGATGTGTAAAGCTCTTTCACCTTCTGAGTTATCTTGCAAACCCCTGTATTTGTCATTCTCAATAAAAATAAGTAGTTTAACAATTCAGAAATTAAATCCACATATACATTAAAAATTATTAGTGAATTAAAATTAAGTATGAGAGGGACACACACACACACACATTAATAATAAATAACATAAAAAAGCAATTTAAGAGAAATGCCGGAGGGCTTATTGCTGTTGAGATCATCCAGTACTCTGGGTACAAACTGGCTTGTGCATTGTTCTTTGTTAGGACTGCATCAGCTCTGTAGCCTTCAGTGCCATCAGTGTGCAAAAGGAATGGATGGAAGAGGAAAGGCCAGGAGGAACAGGTCATAGGTAGCAACACTGGTCAGCCTCCCTTCTTGGTCTTCTAAAGAATGGAACTGCTGTTGTGACTACAGATAGAAGTTTGCTGTTTGTTCATTTACAGGAATATTTATTCGTGTATTCTTTGAGAATTCGTGCAGTCTATTTTGAGCATATTCAACCTTCTCCAACACTACCCCCACTTACCAACCTTTCCAACCTTGCATCTCTTCCCATCCAAGTTCCAAGTTAACTTTTCTTTTTTTTTTTTTTAAAAAAAAAAGTCCTTTCCAGTCAAGTCCAGTTTGAATTGCTCAGCTGGTCTTGGGCTTCAGTCCAGCCCTGCTGTGTGGTTGGATAGCCTGTCAGGCCTCATATCCTTAAAGGAAACCAACTCACCTTTTTCCTGGTAACTGTCAAATGCCAGTGGCTCCTCAGCTACTTGTGGAATTGTGTGTCTACCTTCCCCTCTCTATGCTGGGGTTTTGTCTGTCTGGGGCTTCCACAGGTCTTGTATGTGGTACTGAAATCTCTCTGAGTTCACATGTGCACTTGCCCTGTTGTGTCTAGACAATACTGCTTCCCTGATGCTATCTATCGCCCACTCCCCTTTTACAGTCTTCATGTCCCTAACCCTCAAAGGCCCCATACGTAGGGTTGAGGAGTGTGACATCATTGCCCCATATGTAGAAGTTTATTTTGTTAAACCACGCCATGCACATTGAAAATGTTGGATTTTCTGGCTTTTAATAAATGGTTTCTTCTCATCACAGCCAAGATCTGTGAGCTATTTGTCAGCCATGAGTTCCTTACAATCCACTTTTCAAACTTCCTCATTAAGCTGAAGTTTTACAGCTCCAGTTAGGTCAGCCTCCTCCTTAGCAAGCAGCTATTTTCATGCACCTTCACTGCAAACTATGTTGTCATGTTCATGCTCAGACTTTGAAGTATTTCAATGGAACCAAAGCCATGCAAACAAAACGGAGCCTTGTTTGTTGTGAAGATATTTCCAGGTCTTTCCTTTTACATTCATAGGAATTTTATTGGTTTATTTATTCTTCTCTCATACATTGCATCCCGACCAGAGTTTCCCCTCCCTCCATTCCTCCTATTCCTCTGTCCCTCCCCGAGACCTGCTGCCCTTCCCATTTCCTTTCAGAAAAGAGCAGTTCTCCCAGGGATAACAACTGAAGTGCTCATATTGGGGCTGGATGAGGAAACCCAGTAGAAAGAAAAGGATCCCAACAGAAGGAGAAAGAATGAGAGACATCCCCTACTCCTACTGTTAGTTTAGCCCCAAGCTAAACAACCACAGCATGTATGCAGAGGGCCTAGTGCAGTCCCAGGCGGACTCTGTGGTTGCCATTTCAGTCACTGTGAGCGCCTATGAGCCTCACTTAATTGACTCTGTGAGCCTGGAGACATTCTAAAAAGGGACAGAAAAAGCCTGATCGTTTGAATGAACACAGAAGAGCCTGCCTGGATTAAAGCATCAAGGTGGAAAGTGGGAAAGTGACCACAGCAGGTCAGGTGATGATGTTCGGTGCCTGCAGAGGTGAGGTGAGGTGATGAGGGGCAGTGCTGTCAGGTGATGAGAGGTGAGGTGATGATGGGCGGAGCCTGCCAGTTTGTAGGCTGCTCTTCTTCCTTGCATCTTTCTATAGGAATCATGCAGTTTGCCTCTACAGTTTTGGGGGAGAAGCTTTTTCTTTCTGTGAACTGAAAGTTAGCAGCAACATGGCCAGCCCCTTTTCTTCTTTCTTCCCTCAGAGCAGAATTCCTTCAGATAATCCTTATCCATACTGCCTGTTAACTTTATTTCATTTGCAAGATGTATAGTTAGGAAGCATGAGGCCTGTGGCGTACACTCTATTCACTGGATGTTTCTTTCTATGTACTCTTTGACATCTATTGGTCTGTGTCACCCTGAAGTAAATAATTATTCATAATTGCATAATAGATTGCTGTACCACCATACACCTGCCTGATTTTGTCTACCTCAGAAAGAAGGATTCCAAAATGGATGGAGTAAACCCTCTCTTGAACTTGATGCCCTTGTAGTTTTGGGTGCTGCTGGGATATGAAGTGGGTTGGCTGCTCCATTCCTCACTTACAGTTTTAACTGTCTACATCAAGGAACCTTCCTTTATCACTGGCCCAGTTGGGCTGACTGTACAAGTATAAGGAGGTGTCTTCCAAATTCTCATGCCCCATTTTAACTCTGGAGAGAAAGTGGGCTGAGATGAAGTGTGATCAAGAGTGTGCTGAACACCGCAAGCTGTTGCTCTTGTCTGCTCAGCTTCCTCCCAGACTCCAGGGACATGTTCTAAAAGCTTGGCATTTTCTGTACCACACCTTCCTTCTCACGTAGGTTTTTGCTTAGTTATTTTTAAACCTTCAGTCTTGAGGTAAGTAGCACTGCACACCCCAATGTGACCCAGCTTCCAGCACCACCAAAGATTATTAGGGTAGACAGACAAGACTATGGTCCATGCAGCACTAGAAAAAGCCCTGCCCTCTTCTGAGGCTCCCACGGCAGCTGCTTCTATCCATTTGCCCTTTACCCTGGAGTTAGTGACTACTGATTTATTACTACAAAGTGTGGACCTCAGCTGTGGGATTCTGTCCCCCACCCCAACTTCCTGCCCTCACTCCCTCCACCCCATCCTCTGCTCCTTGATTTCCTGTTGTTCTTCTGAGCCAGCCTGCTAAAGTCATCCTGTCAAGAACAGTCCTATTGCACAGCAGTGGGTCTTGGGGAGGGACAGAGGGACTGGGAGGCATGGAGGGAGTGGGGGAAACTCTGGTTAGGGTGTAATGTATAATTTTATAACCTTGTTTAATCATTCTAAAAAGTTTATAATAGCAGAAGTGGTGGTTCCATTAAACCTCACTTGAGGCTCTTCACTTCTGCCAATCATTCCTAGACCAGAGTGAGATGGATGTCCTTAGGTGCTGTTTTCTGGGGTCAGAAAAGAAGAATTTAAGAACCCTTCTTTTCTTAATGCAATTAAAGTTCTATTTTGTGTAGTTGCATAGCAAACTAGTAATAAAATATTCTGCATAGCTATAATTATATGCATAGTAAAGGTTGTTTTTTTTTTAAATAATTAGGTACCAGTGGCAGTTATGCCAGGTAAAAATATTAAGATGCTCTATGATTTCCTATTTTGATTACACCACACAGGGTAAATGGGGATGTGGTCCCTCTTTTGTTCTTGGTGTTAGAAATAAAAACACAAGAGTTTATCAAAGCTTGAAACCAAAAGGAATCGACATTTAAGAGTGAAATGAGAGGTGAAATGTTCCAGCCCTGAAAGTGTGTACATGTGGAATGCTAGTATCCTTCCTTGTTTTCTGTTGCTATGATAAACACCATGACCAAAGCAACTTGGGAAGGAAAGGGTTTGTTTCATCTTAACTCCCACATCACTGGCAGAACTCAAGGCAGGAACCCAGAGGCAGAAACTGGAGCAGAGGCCACAGAGGAATATTGCTTCCTGGTTTACTCAGCTTGCTTTTTACATAACCTAGGGCCACTTGATCAGGGTGGCACCTCCCACAGTAGAGTGGCCCTCCAACATCAACCACTAACCAAGAAAATGTCTTGTAGACTTGCCTAGAGACCGTCTGATGGAGGCACTTTCTTAATTAAGTTTTCCTCTTCCCAGAAGACCCCAGCTTGAGTGTCAAGTTGATAGAAATTAACTGGCATAGATTTGGATTCAACTTTCACTGCTGCCCTCTCTCTTTGCTCATGTTTTACACGATTAGCCTGGTAATCTAGTACCTACAGATCTTGGCACTGGCTTCCTGTCTCCCTTTATTTATTTCTACCTCATTATTAATACGGAGAAATACCCATGATACATCTGGTTTTGAAACCTTTCTCTCTCACTGGCCTTATTGCTATGGCCAAGAGCCATTGTTATAGAGGAGGACCCTAATTATTGTCCTGGCCATTTTTGCTGTTTTTAAATTATGTCCATTTTCTAGCTCACTTCCTGTCTTTGTTTCTATCTTCTAGCGTCTTGCTGGATCTGGGATCATTGTGACCACTAGTGAAGCCGTTCTGCTGCAGCTGGTGGCTGACAAAGACCATCCGAAATTCAAGGAAATTCAGAACCTAATTAAGGCGAGTGCCCCGGAGTCTGGTCTGCTCTCCAAAGTATAGGATCCTTGAAGGATCGGGATCCTCGACGGGACTGCAAGCCAGACAAGCTCTTGTCTCTAATAAAACTAAAATGTTAAGTAAACAGCAGTTCCTCCTTTGCAGCTCTTAGTAACACTTAACTGGCTAGACCATTGGGTACAAGCATTTAGTTATGATGTCAAGGCTTCAGGTGCTGCTTATCTTCTTTGTTTCTTAATGGGCTCTTATTTATTAAGACAAATTACAATGGAGGTGCCTGTTTTGTCTACACCATATACTCCAACCATACCTTTCCAAAGTGCTCCCTCTGGTGAAGTTTTCTTAAATTGTGCACTTTACAGAAAACAAACAAAAACATCTACCATAATGATTTGACTTTTCTATTGTTGTGAAACATCTGTTGTAATATTAGTGTAGACCCAGTGTTTTCACTTCACAGGCTGACTGGTGAATGATTCCTGGGTGAGAACTTACAAATAGGACTCTGGATTGTCACCTGCTTCTCTCACAGTGTAGAGTTGCTGACTGAGTGAGGTGCATTGGTTTAACCAGAGCAGATTATCTTTGTGTATCGGTCTTAATGGTACTGCTTTTCTTACCATCTTTGTGGATTTTCCTCCTCTGGATAATGGTCTGTATCAACTTCTTCCACTGGATGTTTTACATCCTCATTGGCTATTTTAATTTTGTGAACAGACAGGAGTGGTTTTCAGTGCTGGGTAACTGAAACGGAGGGAGTTACCCTCACATAATGCCTTTACAGTCTTTTTGAGTGCATCTTTTGGTATACATGGGAGTTAGTGGGGAAGTAAACACGATATAAAATGTAGTTTTACATATTCTCATATTCCCCTTTGTATTTTCTTTCCCTGCCATTCATACATTGTTGCTGCTAATGTCATCAACAATGACTCGGTGGGGATAGGTAATACTATGGTCATTGTTAACCCATCAATAAGTTTATTTTCATTTAATACTTACAGTGTTTAAAATAATTTTTAGTGTGTGTTGTGATATGTGAAACATTACTCTCTTTGTATTAAATTAAAGAAAGTGTATAACTTGGGTGAAATTTTGTTTCCCACAAGTACTAGTCAAAAGAATTCTAGTGACTTTTCAGAGGTAACTGATTTCATATTCGTAATCCTACAACTCATGGGAATTTTCACAGGAGGAGAATCCTTTGCAGGCCCAGATTGATGGAGTTGTTACAGGGGTTTCCTGTTGCAGGTGTAGAAATGTATTTTGTTCTTTGAGCTTTGGTAAAACACCACAGCCTGACTTCTTCATGGCATGCTCAGACATTTGTTTTAGAGCAATGGCTCTCAACCTGTGGCTCCCAACTCCTTTGGCGGTCAGGTAACCCTTTCACGCGGTTCAGTTATCAGATATCCTGCATAGCAGATAATTACCTCATGATTCATAGCAGCAGCAAAATTACAGTTATGAAGTCACAATGAAAGTCACTTGATGGTTGGGGTTCACCACAACATGAGGAACTGTATTAAAGGGTCAAAGCATTAGGAAGGTTGAGAACTACTGTTCTAGAAAATGAGTGCAAAGAAACATCATATAGTTATCTACATTTTAAAATAATTTCTAATAAATGTAATCTAGTGGTTTTCATACTTTTATTATCTGGAGAGCTTGTGAAAATACTGATTCTAGCTTTTTTTTCTTCATTTAAATAAAAAAAGGCATTTCAAAAAATCAATTTAGAACGGTTTCTTCCCCTTTATCCATGCCTCTCCCATCTCAGTGAAGCACTGTGCCAGTGAAGCATCCTCACAGCTGAAGCCAGCTATGTGACCTTGGATTAGAGTCCTGTGGCTGCCCTAACAACATGCCACAGACACCATGTCTTACAACCACAGACTGTTTTCTTCTCAATTCTGGTGAGGCCTGGGGCTCCCTGTGCTGAAATCAAAGCTTGTATTAGGAAGCTGTGATCTTTCCTGGAGCCTGTGTGGGGGATGATCTCACAGCTCCATGCTTCTAGAATCCACTCATGTTTTTTTTGGTTTGGGCTTTGATTTGTTTTATTTCATTTTATTTGTTTTATCCCATTACTGCCATCTTCCCAGGCAATAGTGTGGATCTGGTCCTTGGGTCCCTGTCAGACTTTCTTCCTTCTTCTTCCTGGCCTAAGATCTCATGTGGTTCAAGGTCCCCATTTTGCAAGCTTATTCCACCTGCAGCCTTAACACCCTTTGGCCATATAGCATGGTTCTAGGCTCCAGGGATAAAGACTCGGGTATCTTCCAAGGCCATTCTCTTCTTAAAGGTATCAGCTAGTAAATGTGAATTGAATTAATTAATTGTATCAGGTCCAGGAATATAAATATGTGGGGGCTCAGAACCATTGTGAGCTCTGCCTTCTCTCTTCTGTTTTGTGAATCATGCCAGAAGGTGGCAAAGCTTTTACTTTATGATTATAGGAAAACTGAACTGATTGTAATGCATTAAGCTTTGGAACAGAAGTGTCCATGATTCTGTAGGATGATGAAATCCTTTTCATTGACATAAATAAAGAAATAAGACTGTAAACAAGAAGGGTCCAGTGTATTGCATCTCAAGGGGCCTGGGAGCAGCAAGATGTTCCTTGTGGAAATACTCAGCATCTGTGCAAACTTAATCTACAATTAAGCTGGTTACTTATTCCAGCCAGGAAACTGAATACTCTCTGATGACCATTGAAAAAGCAGCATATTTCACTACTTCATGTGGATTATTTTCCCTCTTTCAAAATTGATTATTTGGGCAAGTAGACTTTATGGCTGGGGAGAATGATAAAGACACCACTCAAAGGTTCATTTTGTTTTTTAGAGACACAGTGATTGGGCCACAGAGATGGCTTTTTAAGACCTATAAAGTATGAGGAGAACCAGTTACTTGTCTCTGTGTCCTGTGTGTTTCACTTCATCGCTGATACTAAGAGTTATTACTCCGAAATGCTAGGGGTTATCAGAGTGGAGGAGCAATTGACAGGCATATAAAAGGCCCACACTCATCTATGTAAACTTCTGTTTTGGTCATAGAAGCTCCTGGGATATGTTTGCCCTCTGATACCTTTTGGGGGGTGCTCTCCCTCTGTTGCTGTTTCTGTGCTATGTATCCAACAGTCTCTGCTTGATAGCTTTCTCTAAAGCATATTTCCCTAACGAATTGGAGGGAAAGAATAGCAAACAGTCTGAAAATAGTGATTATTTTCATCATCAAATAATTCTGAATAGATTTCCCCATAAGTAAAACTATGATTGGTTTAGCCCTCACTGAACACTTTTGTTGCTGTTAAACACTTGATTTGGAAAAGAAAAAAGTTATCACAATATATAGCAGTTACATAGATAGAATTAAGATGAAGTTTTACATTCTTGGAACTGACTCCTAATAATCTTACCTTTGCATTGTCTGTTACATTAATTAGTTTTATTTACTTATATGGCTGGATAAGAAACCATTGTATCAAGAACATTTAGTTATAGGACACTCACTCCCCACCCCCACCAGAAGCCATCAACTGTGGAGAGCTACCCTTCAGCATCTCTATCACAATTTTTAAGAGTTCTCTTCATTGGTTTCCTGTCTGAACCGTTTCTTTTTTAGGTGGGAGCTGTTAACCTCAAATAGACAGATCTCTGAGCTTTAAGGTCAGCCTCGTCTACATAGTGAGTTCCAGGATGAGGGGGAAATGTGGGTGGTTGTTCTGATGGGCTAGCAGCCTTCTAGGTAACAGTCTATAAGAAAGTTGGGCCTCCATTGAACCCCACAGAATCTTTATTTCCCTGGAGGAACTCGGGAGGAATTTCATCTTTGCAGATTAGAAACAAGGTAGGTCAGCTTGGTGCCTTGATTTCGCTTTCTGAGACCTGAACAGATAATCTAACCCTTTCTCAGTCAGATTTGGTTTGGGAACTAGGGAAGGTTGGATGACCCCTTGTCAATCTTTATATGCTAGCCACTTTCTGAGACCTTGTACAATTAGGAAGGCTTGGTGGCATAAAACTGGCAACAGGAAGGGGCTAGAGGGTAGGGAAGACTAAAGGAGGGGGCTCTTTTTATGTGGTTACAGAGAAGCCCTTAACACTGTTAGGAAAGAGATCCCCAGGTGTAGCCTGTTGGGAAAAAGGAGTATCTATACCCCTATAAATAAACCCTCACCCATGCATGCTCTGTAAGGATACTTAATAAACTCATTCATTCCCCAAAGTGAACTTTGGGTAGAATTGTGCCTCAGTTTGTCATTGGGACTTTAGGCCGAGGAGCAGACATTGCTTAGTCTCCTCTGGGAATGAATTTTAGCAACAGTGGCTATGTGCACATATGTATGCTGGTATGCTGGTGCCAGGGGAGTCCAGAAGAGGGTGTGGGATCCCTTGGAGTTGGAG